GCTAAGTGTTAAGGTAGTAAGAAGAATGTTACACCCCTTCTGATGATCACTTCCTCCATGTCGTTTGCCACAACACTAGTAGCATTGGCCATGGTGAATGAATCATAATTTTTAGATATCCCCTTTTGATTTATTTCATTTCTAGAATGGTCCATTTTATTCTTTTACCCTTATATAAACTCGTTTTTGGACAATTTAGCTCATGGGAACCGTGTTTCACTATCAACACTTGTTTTGAATTGGATTTCATTTGGTTCACATTTGACTAATTTAGTTTCTACCTAAATTACCATGATAGGTATAAATTAATGTATTTAATTCTTTCTATTATAATACATTCTTTTCTACCATAATAGTTGACTTCAGGAATGACTTTATTGTCATAGAAAATCCTTTCTACCATAAAAGTCTTTAAAAAGCTATTTTAATTCATGATTATTATGGTAGATTTTTTCTACTATAGTAGAATTTTAAAATAATAACTTTTATTTTTTTTTATGATGATGAATATTGTATTATCACGATAAAATTTGTAAAATTATCTTTTAATCTTTTTTATCATGATAAACATTTTATATCATGATAGATATTTTAAAAGTTAAACTTTGACTAATTACTATTTTTATAGGATGAAATTGGTTGAAAGTTTTAGATTATTACAATAGTTCACCACCGTCGCACCCAAGAATGCGACACAGACAGCTAAGGCAAGCGAAGGTTCTAGCCTTCGAAGCAAAAACTGGCAAAATAGAAGTTGCCACTAAAATTTTAAGGAAAATCTTGAAAAATTATTTAAAAAGAGATAAGGATAGTCTGCGAAATCAAAAATAGGTTTAAGAGTCAAAGAGTATAGCGAAGGTGTTAAGCACTCCATAACATCCATTCGTAAGAATGGTTACATAAAGTTAATTGTGCTAAGTTAATATGGTTTTAAAGTTATTTTAATCATCCTTTTTTATTCACGTGTTTTTTAAAAAAATGATAATAATAAAATGAAGAATATTTAATAATTTACAAGGGAGGACTTAACTCAGAATCAGATTATGAGACCTACGTGCCCTATGATAGGGATCAAAATTCACATAGTTCAAGATTATAAGTTGTTGGTGAAAATATTTTTTTTAAAAAAGAGAAATTAATTAGAAATAATTTACTATCTTGCAAATAAAATAATTTTCTAAAATTTTAATATGTATATTTTAAATTACAAAGAGTAATTTAATTTTAATTATTTTCTCAATTTTTGAAATTTTTGAAATGAGAAAAGGGAAAAGAGTTTAAAATTATTTTTTTATGTTTTATTATTTTTTAAAAAATTTAACTGGTATACCTGCAAAGCTTTATTGAATAATACGATAACACAATTACTCTAAATATTTGTGAAAATTTTGAAATCTTGCACGACAAAAGAATCTAACAACTTAATTTATTTTACTTAAATTTTTAAGTATTAATAATAATTTTTAAAGCATGTATAATCTTAATTGTCATAACTACAAAACCTCATTGACTTATACAGTAATATAATTATCTTAAATATCTATAGAGATTCAAAATATTCACACAATAAAGAATTAAATAATATTCATTTAACTATAATTTTAATTTAATTGATTTATTATGTATGTATATAATTTATATATTTCTTTAAAAAACTTAATAGTTATACTTGCAGAGTCTTATTAACTCATATGATAATATAATTATCTTAGGAGTTCATAGAGATTCAAAAATCTCACATGACCAACAAATTTATCAATTATTATTCAAATACATTAATTTAAATAATTAATTAGTTAGTTTTTTAATGTTTATTATTATTTATAAAATCTATTTATTTATTTACCATATAAATTAAAAATCACAATAGCTACGAGGACTTATTGTCTCACATGAAGAGGCGATTAATCCAAACCTCTACAGAGATTCTTTAAATCTCACGTGATACCGTTTAAGTGTTTTTAATTGATTTAAATTACGTTTGTGAAAAGAGAACAAAATTGTTAATTTAAACAATGGGCCATTAGAACCCATATTTAATAATAAAGATTGATTATCACACATACAAAATCTTATTAATTTATACAGTATAAAATTATGTTAAATAGGTTCTAAAACCTATTGCAGAGAATTTTAAATTATTAACAACTATAATAGAAATGATTACATGTGTGTGAAACAATTTGTTTATGAAAATCCACCAAAGGCAAGGGAACCAAAGTATTTGGATATTGTATTCCTATTTTGACTTGAGGATGTGCCATATGAATTAGTACTCAGAAAAGGGAACAATGAAAGGGAAGAAAATTGACAACAACATCCAAACATTTAAAATCAAAACAAACTTTGACAATCACTCAATTGATCCCAAATGAAAGTTAGAGGCCAAATGGTGTCATGACTTAGAGGAACAGTTAGAATTGGGTTGATTAATATTTTTTCATGCTAAAAGACAAACTTAAATCTAACTTATCACTTAGATTAACAATCTAAATAATTTTCCAAATGTTAGCACTGAAAACATCATGAGAAAGTACTATAACTAAATCAACCTCACGTGTGGAAGCAAATAAACACATGTTGGAGCATATTTAAGATGTTGAAATAAAAGATTAATTGCACAACACAACTTGGAGGAAGAAAACACAATGATATAGCTATAGTGCCTAGGTTCTACTCATGGATAAATAAGTTATATATTTTTTGTTTCCAAATTCCAAACAGATCAACAGCTCCAAACAGGATCTTGAAACAAGGCCAAACTTATAATAACTTTGAATCTCTATTATTCAAACAATCACACATAATTCTCGCGACCATCAAGATTAGCCTATATCATGATCTTAAAAAAAAAGTTCCATCAAACTAAACAAAAGAAGCCGTTCAAATCTATTTAAAAAAAATAAAGTAACAAAATTTCAATGCTTAGTGTCAAGCCACATATTGTAATAAGAACCTAAACACACGACAGCTAAAACCCAAAAATGATTTCCTCTAGACCACACATACAAGCACACACTAACTCAAGCTTATATATTACAAGACAACTCTAAACAGCACATTAATCAAAATCTTGGAAGCTCCTCAACAATTTGCTAGCTATTAGACTATGAAACAAGCCTTAATCATAATCAAAAACATAATTTGAGACTAAATTTCATCCACCACATAGCAAGGCAAATGAATCATATGAACAGGGTATATAATCCATTCTTGTTCTTACAGCAACAAGCAAGAATCGATCCCACAATAAAACCTTTGATGAACATTAAAATAACTATTTTCAACACCTAATCCATATATCCAATCAAGTCTATAAGAAACATATCCTCAAAATATTTGCTTAAATAATATAGACTAGCTTCTAACCATTGGAAGTAATGCCTACGAACAAGATTGGTACATTCTAAATCCAATCAAACTTTTACATAGTAGTGCGAGAGGTTTAAACTTAAAATCAAAAACCAAAATTTAAAACATGAAAATTAATCTCCAAGTTGTTACCAAAATGGGTGTCTTCTTCACCTTCAATCTCTTGGTTTGATTAGTCCTCCCTCTTCTACTTCTTTAGTCTCTGCTTCAATCGTGCTCACATGTGCTTCTTGCTTCAAATTCGGACCCTCTCTATGCCTCCCACAGACTTTCCATTCTCTTTCTCAAAACTCTATTGCTCTTTCTAAATCCGGTCTATACTCTAAGAAATTTCTCTGAATCTCTCTCTCCTTTTCGGTCTCTTATATTCTACCCCAAAAACGTTTCACAATCTCTCTCTCTAAGCTCTCCAAGCTTCAACTTATCCAGCTCCCTAAATCTCTTTCCAGCTCTCTCGGTCTCTTCCGTTCCCTCTTCCCCTCTCTTTTGACTCTGCGTTTTCCTTCTCTTAAACCCAGATTCCCTCTCCTTTGCAAACTTCATTCGACCTTATATACCCACACGCTTCAATCTCATATCTGCTTTGCCTCCTCTTTCTTTGCATCTCCGACTTCTTGCCACGCTAGCCGTACGCTCGCCTCGCTTGCTTTCTCTCTTGGCATCTCTATTTTGCTCTTCCTCTTCCCGCTTGTGCGCGCCTCTCTTATGCTCTTCTTGCTTTTCCTTCCTTCCTTTGCGTTTTCACCTCTGGCTTCTGTTTTCTACGCCGAGGGAAGCGTGGGATGGGTGAAATGCCAGATGATTCAGCTTTTCACCCACCCGATTATTACTATTTTTTTAATGCTCTTTTGTTTTTTTAATCATTTTTAAAAATTAAATTAAAAAGAAATTTAATTTTAAATTAAATAAAAATATCTCTTTTTTTTAATAAAAAACAATAAAATTTAAAAAAAATTTAAAAAATTTAACTCTTAAAAAATTAATTTTCAATATATTTAAATGGTTGAAATAATTTAAAAAATATTTTTAAGTTTTAAGTAATATTTTTTTTAAAATTGATTCTGAAAAGAGATTAAATTTATTTATATTTTTTATTTTTTTTATTTTTTAAAAATATAATCTTAAAAATAGTTAAATTTTATTTTTTATATTTATTAAATTTTTTTTAAAATATAATTAAATTTCTACATTTTCATCATTTATTATTAACAATTTTTTTAAATATAATTCTTAAAAAAAATTAATATTTTTTTTAAAATTAACTCTTAAATTATGAATTAAATTTTTATATTATATATATATATATATGTGTATATATATATATATTTGTTGTTTTAATTAATTAAAAAAAGTTTTTTTAGTCAATAAAAAATTATTTAAGTTAAAAATAAAATCAATTTCTATTTTAATTAATTTTTTATTTTATTTATATTATTAGAATTTGATCAAAAAAATTTACATTATTAAAATTTTATTTTTTAATTGAATTTATTATTGTTATTATATTTAAAAATATGTGTTCACAATCATAAATAATGTTTATTAGGAAAAGACGAGAAATTTATGCAAGGCAAAGAAAAGAAAAAAAAAAAGAAATAAATAAATAAATCGGGTCAGTCCCTGACACTCATAACCCGGCTTCCAAGTCCAACTTGATTCCACTGACGCTGAACAATCTTCAACGATGATCCACTATCCGGCCCTCAATCTGCAAGTTCCTTCCTATCCCCATCGTGGTTTTCCCATCAATCATTGCAGTCGAATCAGCTCTCTACATCATTTCCGCCCATCTAATTCATTCTCAGACCAATCCAAGTTCCTACGTCTTCGAATTGCTGGTCGAACTCAAGCTACGTCTGCGCCTATGGAAGTCGAACGAGCTGAAGGCTCTGTTGCAAACAGTGGCTCATCCCCACCCATGAAGCTTCTATTCGTGGAGATGGGCGTCGGCTATGATCAACACGGGTGTTCTATTCTATGCCCTTTTATCTTCCTTTTCTCTTGTTTTTGTCGCCCTTTCTGAAGGTAGAAATGATTGATCACTTCGCATAAGCACAGGCAGGACATAACAGCTGCAGCAATGAGAGCATGCAGGGATGCTATTTCTTCCAATTCAATCCCAGCTTTCCGAAGAGGCATGTTTGAGTGTTCGTTAATCACTTTTAATTTCTAATTTCTAAGCGTATTCTGATGTGTACGAATGAACTTAAGAAGCTTTGTTTTTGAATGTGAGAATTGTTAGTAGTTGCACATAATTGTTCTGCTTTGGATTGATCATAGGATTTTGTGAATTGGGAGTTGGTAGTTGAGGCCTGGTGCATTGGTCCTTAGCTGATTTGTTTGTTAAGTACAGGTGCATTCGAATTTTGTGATATTGGATAGGAAGAAACCAAAAGTGCAGTAAGAACTTTTGGTCTTGCGGTTTATGGTCTCCTTCTTACTAAATTTGATAAAGGAACTTGTCCTGAATACAAAAGCATCGAAAACAAAAAATAGAACTTGAGGAATAATATCCTACAGCTTTCGACCCCAAATGTCTAATGCAAACCACAACAAAAACTTTTGGTGCTGTTTTCTAGTTCTTGAGGGTTCTCTATCAGAATTATGAAATGTAGAGAAATTGTTGGTAAAAAAAAAAATATGATGATTATTTGGTAAAAAAATGCCACCTCTTATTGGAGAATTTTATAGCGACCACCTAGGAAACTTGGCAAAAGTCTTGTGTCCTGTCCTTCAAACAAATTTGTTAATTGTAATAATTTAGCCAAAGGGAATATTAGCTGAGAAAACATAGGCCGTGACTGCGTCTGCTCTGGAAACTTGATTGGTTCCTTGATAGTTTGAGTCAGGCTTTACCGACTCTCGATAGATGCTTGCTTGATGAGCTTGCTCTAGGCGCATTCTTATGGGATAAGTGTTGCGTGAACTATGATGTGCAAGATCTTTTATGGTATTTCCCTAGGGGGCAGCCTAATGGTTGAAAAATGGGTTATTTATTTTGGCTATTATATCAATATTTACCTATTATTGTAACACAATTTCCAATGATTGATCAATGTTGTTTAAAACTCAGGAATCTTATTTGGGGCTTTGATTTTTCAATATTTTCTTCTTCAATTCTAATTGATTGAGTATAGGTTCTATTCCTGGTGTCACCTTTGATCAGATGAAACTACAGATCAAGTTAGGGGTTCCTCATTCTCTTCAGCAATCTCTGGATATTGAGAAAGTCAAATCTGTATTTCCCTAGTAAGTTCTCACACTTGTGAAACCATTGCTTGATCTTTCACTAATGGCTATATGAATATGATGCTTCTGTTACGAATAGGAGATCTTCATATTTTTTAGACCCAATTTTCATTGAAACTTAAGTTTTGCTCTCTATCACGTCAATTTTCTGGCTGGTTAAATTTTCAGATTTCTAAGCAAGAAACCTAACTTGTTCTCCTTGTTTACATTCAACACAGAATTATAAATCTTACCCTTAAGTTTTGCTTGAACCAAATAACATATCCTCTGGTGGTCACGAATCTAGTATTTCCCCCCTTTTAGGAGAGATTCTTACGACTGCAATGCTTAATTGCCTAACCGTAAGTGTTTTGGGATGAATCTTCTTAACAACTCTTGGGACTTCCAGTTCACATGTGATTGTTTGTAGTTTGCAAGATAACAATTAACAACATATATATCTGCCAAAACAAAAATGCAGTGGAAAAATTGTGCATGTTGAAGTTGTGGATGGAGGTCTGATATGCTCAAGTGGGGTGCATGTAGAAGAAATGGGTGACAAGAACGATGATTGTTACATAGTGAATGCTGCTGTATATGTCGGCTATTGACTTGAGACTTTTTAACAACTTTGTACGGTTAGTTTTCACTTTCATTCACGCAGGCCCTGCATTATGCATATTCTGATCCTCCGTTAACATCATCATATCCGAAATCTAACACTACAGTTTAAGTCTGCTTTTCCTTTTTGATATAACAGGCAAACAGCTGGGGGATACTTTTGCAGGACCAAATGGGTCTTCACGAAATCACCGTGGGAGAGAGTAGTTTCTATATTGATCTATTCAGCAGAAAAGTGAAGTTTTAAGTCTAGTGTAATAAGATCTCATTCATAGTGATATTTTAAGATCACTCACTGTTTCTCTCCTCCATCTGATGTTAGTGTGCTTGCTGTGATGATGGATATATGGGATTATGATGAAACTAGAACTCTTCCATTTTGATTATTCCAGTGCCAGTCATATTTCTTTTTTGTTAAGCTTCTGTTAAACAAGTTTTCTGAAATATATGTGATGGGTAAGAGTTGGTAGAATGAGTTCTATTAGATTCTGGTAGTTTTGTTTTGTTAACATTATCGGATAATTTCGTAATTCCATTCATGGCTATTCCTGATCTGTACCTAAGTTTCACTTCTTTTTACACAAAACTAAATTATATAAATATTTGTTCTGTTATAAAAATATCATGCAAATTTCATAAAAAATGAATATAATTAAAATATTATAAAAAATACTAATTTTTTATAAAATCTATGACTTACGTTTTTGAGATTAATCTGTATGTGTGTGTGTGTGTGTGTGTTTATTACTTATATTACAATTGCACAAGAAATTTTCCAGGTAATTATGTTTGCCTTAAGTATAAAATCAATCTTAAAAATTTTTAGACTGAACGAAGACAACGACAATCATTTGTCAGTCTATTTACTATTCTAAATCTAATATTTGCGTTAAGAACAAGACATTGCTCGCCGGGGAAAAAAAAAACATTAGTGGTCACATAATACGTTGCCCGGTCATCAAAACGTTCACTTAGCAGCTAACTTGGCACACATGTGACCATGTGAGCAAACTCGCAGTTTTGAATCTTGCTCAAAACGATTTACTGAGAGTGAGAGCCTTCAAAAGACTGAATTGTGCGGTGTGATTGAAGGAGCTCGAAGCTGTATCAACTGCTCAAAATGGAAGTAGCACAGAGAGGTTCCTCAATTCCAGAAATGAAGGTTCTGTTCGTAGAGATGGATGTTGGATGCGACCTTCATGAGTATTGTTTTCCTTATCCACTTTATAGCTTTTCTCTTTCAGAGCTGCTCTCTTAGCTTTGCTCACCTTATAAACGATGAGATGACAGGCAGGGCATTACTGTTGCTGCCATGAGAGCTTGCAGATATGCTATTGCATCCAATTCAATCCCAGCCTTCAGAAAAGGTACTTCTTACTCGGTTTTCAATCTATGAGTGAACTTTAGACGAACACACCCATAGAGTCTGTTCTGGGTGTGTGTTGCATGAACAGATTGATAGTCATCTTTTTTTTTTTCCTATCGATATGACAATTTTCTTTCTACTGATTCGAACGGGGTTTTGGAAGCAGAAATAACTAAGAATTAGTTGAATTTGGAATAGGTAGTATCCCTGGTGTTACATCTGACCACATGAAACTGCATGTCAAACTGGGGGTTCCTCTTCCTCTCCAACAATACTTGGATCAGGAGAAAATCAAGTCTGTCTTTCCATAGTGAGTATGCTCACCGCTACATATCAGATCTAGAGGTCGACTAATTAATTGCATATACAAATATGAAGAATAATCAGCATGTGAGAATTGGTCACTGTTCAAATCGTTTAAGAATGCTAGTAATAACTAAGAAGCATGTGGCAAAACGTTTCACTTACAAGGCCGTGTTCTCTTACTATTGAAAAAACCATTGCAGTGGGAAAATTATGAGCTTTGAGGTTGTGAATGGTGGTCTTGTCTGCTCAAATGAAGAAATGGCCGACCAGAACGATGAGTGTTACACAGTGAACGCTGCTGTGTATGTTGGCTACTAGATGCTTTACTTGCCTCAAAACTGGGATCTAATGGTATGTCTGCTTTTGGCTGTTTGATATGTATGATATATAAACAATTGAATTATATGTATCTGGTATTACTTAACCATATTTAACAAGAACATCAAAAAGATGGTTTAGGACTGTATCTGAGTTATACGCAACTTTTAAATCTGGTTTTACTTGTTCTTGCTTGCAGGAATCTTCTATGGCTGTCCTCTCTGTTAATGCTTCAGTGAAGCTATGATGAGAACTGTTTCTGTACCTAATTCGGTGACTTTCGCTCGCTTGTTGTTTTTGTAGTAAATATAATCTGTACTTTTGTTAATTCTGGTTAAACTCACTTCCAATTATCCGAGCACATGTACACCATATTTTATGGTAAAATAAAAATTTCATTGTTAAAGGATGGGGACAATGAAAATTGAATGCCTCACGGCATTGTTATCACAGTATTAAGAAATATTTCTCTCTTATTGTTATGAATAATTGTATTGCAATTGAAAGCTACGGGGAAGAAACTAAAAGCAGAATTAAGAAAATGATCGTAAAACAAATGAAAGAAATTCGGCTGAACAGCAATACTTCACACAACATAAGGGCACTAAACGTCTTTGAAATTATTTCATCCTTTATATATTTCACTACACTGAACTGTTACAAATTGCAACACTGCATATGAACTGCCATAGAATAATATGAAGCTGAATATCATTTTGTGATTCAATAGAGATTACTTTAGTTCATTCTCCTTTGGAGAATAGCTTGATCTTCACGAAGAGCTTATTTTGGTTTTTGCTTTCTTTCTGAACCATCAATTGTTCTGGTTCAAGAAGCCTATAACTAAAATGTATTTCACCCATATCTACCAACCAAATAATGAAGAGACGTCTCTATCTTTCACACAAAATCACTGAGTAAGTGAACACATATAGAACCCAGGGACGATGATGAAGAAAGAATCACATTGATGATGAACCTCTCACCTCACATAGTGAGAGCTGCATAGAGGAGCTGATTCCAAGTATCAGGTAGTCCAGGTAGACACCAATGGCTACAGTCATTGCCTGTGTGGTCCCCACTATAGAGAGAAGGGTGTGCATCTTTTCTAAGTTGTGAGAGAAGTGTTATGTCAAGTAGATAAACAGGATACTTCATCTTCTTCAACACACTGTTCACTACAGTAGCTGATGGAGGCAGACCTGCAGGATAGGATGAACCAGATAATGGTTCTAGTTCTCCACTACAGCTTCTCTTTGGTTGATTCCACTCCTTGCCTCTGTGAATCACAGAAACATGTCTCAGAAGTTCCCATCGCAATATAAGCAAACTCAATCTGAAAAGGGAAATTTGACCTTTTTTGTTTTTTCATGAGCATCAGATTTTACTTACTGATAATGTGTAGGGGAGATTCCTTGAAAGAAGACTTTGGTCTTGCTAGGATCAACATTCAGATCAACCCAATTTGCCCAGGTAGTCAGCCCCATATTAAATGCTTCAAACCGATCCATATCCTGGACCAGTCTGGGACCATCTCTTATGTAATCCCATCTGGATGTACCAAACATCATCAAACCATCAGATTTGACTCAAAAACATGCAAGACATCAAATGAATAAGCTGATTAAAAAAAAAAAAAAGAATACAGTTAATATAACTAGGGTGAATACAAAATGTGTTTAGGAAAGTTATTCTCACTTGGACTCAATAATACTCAAATTTAAGTAGGTACTACTGGATATTAAATACTATTTTTTAAAGACTAACAACTACCAACAAATATTGGTTCAATTGGTAAGGATTTAGCCCATCATTTACAGGGTTATGACAACAAATCCTTCTGCTGATATAAAAACCTTATTGGTAGGCAATTTATAAATACTTTTACAAATGCTCTTTAAGCTTGAAAATATATCTTTTGGTAGGCAATTTATAAATACTTTTGTAAATGCTCTTTAAGCTCGAAAATATGCCTTTAAGCTCGAAAATATGTCTTGGTCCTAGTGAGCTCACAAGACCCCGCGCGCGCAATTCTCTAATCAGCTCATCAGGCCATTCATTGATAGACAGAACTGACATGTAGAAGCTTAAACATACCCTTGAGATTGTCCTTTGTGGCTCCACCAATGCCAGGAGTTGAAGATCAGCATGTCCATGTCTTTCCATGCGTTTCCAGCCTCTATGGAGTTCAAGTCAAGTACTCGCCCCACATCTTCTCGAACTATGTCCACCAAATATGGTGTACGGTATAGGTGTAAAGTTACTCCATAGTCCTACAACAACACAAGTTCACCGACTACCATCATCCCCACCGTCCATTTTCGATGGTTCAGATTAACTTCAATATTTATGGCAGAGAAAAAGAAGAACAACTTTGGGATCACGGATTTTTTTTTTTTTTTTGTAATTCTTGACAAAAGGATAAACGGTGTGCTTTTAAAAACGAATGAACGATTCACGTGGAGAATAGTAATGAACTTACAAACATGCTCCGACCATGTTGAAATTTTTATGAGCAGCCGATAATGCTGAATTCCAACATTTCATGGAGAGAAAAAGATTCAATTAATTTGCAAAAAGGTAAGATCCATTAAACTACTGCAAATCTGGTCATTTTCTGTGAAATCTCGCGAATGATTGTCTGAATGGAAGTCGCAGGAAAGCTTGTTGTCGCACCATGTCTAATTTAGAATTTTCAAATGATTTATTTACTATAAATATTATCTGGGTTTGTATAATATAATGCACCATAAATGATACTAATAGTCTTATACTAAATAAACAAGCTATGAACTACAGAGTACAGAGCCATGTTCCATAGTTTATTCATTAGATTAATTAAAGTTAAACATAAAGAAGCAAATAATTGCAGAGAGCCGCCAACTCATGATTAATCATAGGTTGGCAAGTTTGACTCACAGCCTGTCAAGCGGCATTCATAACTCATCCTATCTTCAAGATCTAAAAGCAAACAGTTATACCAGTCAATCTCTTTAATTTGGTTTTAGGACTTCGTTCCTCACAAGCAAATCAAATTGGTATGAGGTCTTTTCTGTTTCTTCCCTCTTTTGGTGGATGATTATTAGTCTTTTTAGTGTTCCTCTTTTGATTGTCCCTGTCCCAGCAATAGGAATCTGATCCTATTCAAAGCCCAATTATTCAGAAAGCTAAAAGATGTACTTTCATTTCAATTTAATCCATCGCCAGTCAAGTACTCCTGCCACATCCATTACTTCATTTTCTTTTATCTACCTACCAGTTTCAATGAATACGGTAGGAGAAAAGTGAATGAACAATTGTAACTTGAAAGGACCAATAAGAGTAAGAACAACAAATGAGAAAAGGGAGATAGAGAGACATAAAAAGGGGGGGGGGAAAGTGTTAGAAAGACAGGCCTGGGAAGCCTTAAAGCACACTGAACAATAACACTTGCGTAGTAAAGCAGACAGAGAAAATTGGGAAAGGAAAGCAGAAACAAAAATAGCAAACCTGGAAGATAACAGTAGATAGTGACTCTTTCCTCAAAATGCTGGTCTTGACATTGGGCACCGACGCGTGAATCATACAGGCCATTGATTCCCACATGTTCAGGCTTAGGGAGTCACCTACAAACATTATCTTCTTCCCACTCCATCTGCTCAGGAAATCCTTCCCATCAAACCTAACACCATAAAAGAAGAAAGCAGCCTCATTAAAAGCCAGCATCAGTCTTCAGAGCAAGTTCTTAACAATTAACAATATTATCCATTTTATCAAACAGTTTCAGAACTGTTCAACACTTACTTGACAAAAAAGAATCTGGTAAAAGAATTTAAGCCATCAATGGGTAGTGTACCTGGGCATGGCACATGAATCAGGCTTCCAGGAATATTTGAGATACTGATTGTCAGGTCTCCCGTACTTCTGGCAATCAAACTCATCATCTATGAAATGGCAGCTTGAAGAATCATAGAGAGGATACGAATGGTCAATCACCCAACTTCCAATGAACAAGTTACACTCACTTGCTTGCTTTCTCCCTCTCAACGAGCTACTCGCATTGAAAAACTTGGCTGCTCTTGCTTGGTGAAGAGTCACAAGCAGGGCTAGTAAGAAAAGAGAGAGTTGAAGCAGAGAATGAACCCCGAAAGTGAAACCCATTTGGAAAAAAGCAGGGAGATTAGAGGACCTGTGAAGAACAGCTTGTACGTTTATGGGTCATTTTATAGATGCAGGAGGCAGGAAATGCAGAAGTTGTACTAACATGGTGGTGGGTTCACATGGTGTGGGTGCTAAAGGACAGTGATTTTTATTTTTTGACATGAATTATAGGGCCTCTTGCCTTCTTGGATGCATTCGCTAGCGCTATACGAAATGCTAACCTGGGGGGTTGAAATTGAATGGCTTGTTTTATGGGGAAACTCAACGTTACTGCAATGTGAGGGAACTGAAAAGGAAAGACTATGAGTATACTACTTTTCTACCAAAAATAAAAACACTTTCTTTTTTCTTTTCTTTTTTTTTTTTGGCTTTCCATTGGCTTCCAAGTCACGGGGCGAAATCGTTCACTGTGATATGTCTGATATGATTGATTCTGTGTGTCTGCAAATCAAAAGTAGGATTGCTTATACTTGTGCAAGATACTATTATACTTGTATATACCAAATTGCATGCATTATATGACAAAGAAACTAGTAATCTATAAGCGTTTAAACAGATAGGATAGATCTGATGGTGTAGGTGATTTATAGTTTTAAATTTAGGTAAAGTTGTCAGCTTTTGAATATATATATATATATATATATAATTTTAAATTTAAACCCAGAAACCGAGCACACTCATGTTTAACTCGGATGACTTTAAGAATAATGCGAAATAAGAATAATAAAAGAAAAAACCTTTTGAGGTCAAAAAAAGGCAAATCTGACCGTTTGGATTGGAGAGTTAAACACTTTGCAATTATTAGCGGAAAACAAAGGTTACTTCTAGTGAAATGACCGATTCTTTTAATTTTTTTTATTTTTTTACCAGAACTGATTCTTTTATTTAATAAACAAAAAATAGAATTAGAATAAGTTGGCCCACTGATGAATACCATTTAATTTTTTTTTAAAGACAATTGAAGTTATGAATAGTCATAAATATAAAAGTATATTATGCAGAGCGAAAATTGCCTGTAGTTGCAAACTTGTAATGTAATGAATATAATAGTTATGAATTATTCTTGTATGTGACAAGGTTATTTTTCTTTATTTTTATATAAAAATATACAAAAATATTTAGAATATTTTATAATTATAAATTTTTCTTTTATTCTTTTTTATTTAATCCACCATAAATGTAAAAAAAATTACATTACTATTGTTTAGATAGAATATGTTTAGATCTATTGGATTAAATTTAGATATTGTTAAATTTTAATTAAGGGTAACTCTTCTACATAATTCAATTATTTTTGACAATATTTAAAAAGAATCCTGTGTTTTTTAGAGCCAAGAATTCATGCGGTCTTATTTAGGCTAAACTCAATTTAAGCCAAATTTATTCGAATCAAATTTAAAATATTATATTTTCTAAAAAAAATATTTAAGCTTGGCCTTAATTCTTTTTGGCCAGACTCAGGCTACCTCATTTAGTTTGGTTTGAATCATCAGCTCTTACATACACAGAGTGGAAAACACCACTCAACCCAAGCATGGAGACCATAAATGGAGGAAGTTGATATATAATAATTGGAAACATAATAATAAATGCAGATTATATGTTGACACTGGACAGCTATGGTGGAAATAAGAAGAAAAATGAAAGGAAGTGTAGTTTCGCGCTGGGTTCACCTTACCGGCACGCATGAGTTGTTATCAAAATTTGCATTATTTCTTATTTCTTAGAGAGACAGCCACCGCTCATTGATTTGAACCATCACATTCTCCTTGTATGTATGTATCTATTGAGAAGCTTGAAAATAGGGGGGAAAGGAACATGAAAGTACAGTACATGACTCATCAACGGTGAGCTCTGCTAAAGGAATTTGGCTTTGCTGCCCTCACCTTCTCTTAAGATGTTGATAGTATAGATTTAATATTTTATTTTTTATTTTATATTTATTAAAATAAAATATTTATAAAAATTATAAAAAATTTAATAAATTTGATTCCCAATTTGAGTAGTCTATATTTGTATTACCAAAATAAAAAATTGATAAAAAAATTTTATGAGTCTAATCATCACCAATCTCAACAGTATTAATTTAATTTAAACATTCAAATTTTTATGATTTTTATAAATTGATCATTTAGATATATTTGGATACTGTAGATTTAATATTAAATTTTTTATAATTTTTATACTGATAATACAAATTTAAACTATCTAAACTGATAATCAGATTTATTAAAAAAATTATAATTTTTATAACTATTTTATTTTAATAAATATAAAAAAATAAAAATTAAAACATTAAATCTGGACTATCTAGACTCTAAACAATCCAGATCTTCTCCATGGAGTCGTGGCAGAGGGAAGGGTCAGAGAGCAAAGCCAAGTCCTCTCCCAAAACTTCCTTGTTAATAGCTGGATTAGAGAAATTAGTGACCTTCTTGTGCGAGATTAGATCATCACTTTTTTTTTTTTGGATAATAGATCACACATCAAAAAAATTGCAAATAGTGTAGCATATCCATTGGCTCGCCAAAGATATCAATTGGATGCTGATAATATAGATATCCTTCGCCTGGGGGCATTCTTTTCAAAAATTTTCATCATGAACCGCAAATAGCTAGCTAGTTTTTTTTTTTTTTTTCAACAGAAATTTGTATTTAAAAAAAAACAGCACAGTATAGCACACAGAAAGCATGAATGAAATAGTAGAGAAAACATTTATTTTTAAAAAAAACAAAAAAAGAGAGAGAGAAAAAGATGTGAAAATTATATATAGGTTTCATGGAGAAAACTTATTTAAAAATAAATCTCTCAAAATTCAAAAATTATAATTAAGTATCTTAAAATTTGAATGTAATTTAAAATTAAGTTATAAAGATAATAATATCTTTATTAAATATATATTAAATAATTAATTTATAGGTGCATTGTGAGGGGGCCACCCCTTCATATATATTATGTATGTATGCAATGTTTTGTGGGGATCGGTGGCCTTCCCATCATTTCTTTAAAAACAAAAAATTTACTCTCTCTTCTTCTCACTTGCATACATAATTATATTTTCTGATTTGTATAGTACTTTTTTTATTTAAAAATATAAAATAATTTTTAAAAATTAATTATTTAAAAATATAAAATATTTTTAGTTTTACAATGCGTAATTAAAGATTTCTTCTTCAAAAATATCTTTAATAAATAGACCACTCAACTTTTTAATTTTAAGTAAGAAATCTAAAGACAAATATAGAAAGATGGTATCAGTCTAAGGATAATTAACTAATTTATTGGAGAGTGTAATTTGATTAAAATTAATTTATATTTTTAAATGGAAGGAGTGTTATTGATACATGATGAATGTTAAATTTTTATTAGTAAAAAAGTGAAATTTAATATTTATGTCACATATATTAGCTTTCCTATTAGATTGATTATTGATGCTTTATATGTTAGTTTTCTTATATTGTAAGAGTATTTTAATAAAAAATTTATTCCTAATATTAAAAAATTTTAAAAAATAAATTACGAATATATATAACAACCTTCATTTAAATTTGGCGTCCCCTTGCTTTCAATCCTGATTCTGCTCCTAACTATTTTATCAATAATTTACAACTATAATTTTAATTTTTTACAACTGTAATTTTACATATTCAATAGTTAAAATTATAATTATACATTACTAATGAAATAGTTATAAATTATTTGATTGATGTAATATATATATATATATATATATGTTTAATAGAAATATTATTATCTTTTTATCTAAATTTTAAATTATATTCAGATTTCAAGAGATCTAGTTGTGATTTTTGAATTTTATTAAATTTATTTATAAATAAATCAGTTTCATAAAACTTATATGTAATTTCCACCACATAAGGAGGTTATCCATCCTTGAGCTGCAACGTTAGCCATTGTCCCACTTACTGTCTGAGGGTAGCCTTTTGTCACGGGCTGAGAGTCTGGCGCAGCACACAGCGCCCGTGCGGCGTCCTGGAGGACCCCATAATCCTCAGGACAAGCCTTACCACGTACGGATCACACTGGTTTCGCCCTGCCATGGGCTCATCAGGGAGGCGGCACTAGCCCCCGACCAGTTGTGCACACAGTCCGAAGACTGAGGCAGAACACCCCCAATGCTAATGTCGCCCCCTTTACCCATATTGTGCGAGGCTAACCAGCGGACCGTTCATTATCTTGGTTTTTACACGGTCACGGAAATATCATCCGTGACATTCTCCCACACCCAATCTAGCACGCCCTCGTGCTAGGGGAGAACGACTCCGCCTAAGGATCGTACGTACAGTACTGCCACAAACACACCAGCTTACTTGCTGAGTGGCCACCCGAGTCCTGCACTCTTCGGACCCACTCGCACCCGCGAGCCAACAGGAGTGGAGTCGACAACGGCCAACCATCCCGCCCGAGTCCCCACTTTTGGACCCACCTGCTCGGAGGCCTTTCTGGAGCGGTGCCGAGGCCGACCAGTCCCAACGTGGGACCCCACCCGCACACGGCAGTAAAGTACGTCCTGCTCTGATACCACTCTGTCACGGGCTGAGAGTCTGGCGCAGCACACAGCGCCCGTGCGGCGTCCTGGAGGACCCCATAATCCTCAGGACAAGCCTTACCACGTACGGATCACACTGGTTTCGCCCTGCCATGGGCTCATCAGGGAGGCGGCACTAGCCCCCGACCAGTTGTGCACACAGTCCGAAGACTGAGGCAGAACACCCCCAATGCTAATGTCGCCCCCTTTACCCATATTGTGCGAGGCTAACCAGCGGACCGTTCATTATCTTAGTCTTTACACGGTCACGAAAATATCATCCGTGACACTTTGCCCACTAAGTCACTAATCAAAATAACAATAAAAATATAGGCATCCACCAAACCCAAAATAAAGTTAGATTTCAATACTCAACAAACCCAATAAGGTCAAACCTCTTGGGCCCACCCCCCCCCTTTTTCCTTTTCTTTTCATTGCACCCCTTCTTATTTTTTTCTGCCTCTTTCACCTCATTGCATGGCTGTTAAATAACCTACTCATTTATTTATTTATTAGTCTATAATTACTTGCAAGTTCTATAGTATTGGAATATAAGAATAAATAATATGTATCCTAAAAATGATGTTTCTTTGGGTTAAAAAGTATAATAAATTAATACTATTATTTTTCTGTTTATTTTCTAGAAACTCTAGCTTTTTTTACTTAACAGAGTAAAATTTATGGGGGCAGTTGCTGTTTATTCTGGTTAGGA